AAAAAAAACATAGTGCCAATTTTCAAGGGTAAAGAAAGCACATAATAAAATAGACTTTTAAAATTACAAATGAAAATCTGTACATCGAGGATACTTTTAAGGCTTTCCTATGTGCACTGCACTATGCAAAAAGAAGAATAACCACTGAAAATATAACATCATATCAGGTGTTACAAGTCTGGCCCATCTCTGCTTGCAGAATCATTTCTTCTTTTCTCAAGGGGAAAGTATCAATCAGGTTGAAGAGAGCTATGGGTGTTACTAGGGAGACGTAGCGCTCTTTGTCCATGCCATGCTTGTCCACTAGCACCATGCTGAAGGAGTACAGTGGGATTCGTAGCAACAGCCTGGAACAGACAAAGAGAAAAGAAGGCTATGTTAAACCCTAACTCCTACGAGTTCTGGGAGGCCAACCAGAGCCCTTTAGTAATATTGTGTACAGAGAAAGTCTTGATGTCATGTAGGACTGAATCATCCCTTAGGCCTTTGCTACTCAAAGTGTAGAGCTTGGACCCATGGCATCATATGAGGACTTACTGGGAAAGAACTTGCACATGTCTGACATCAAACTTACCAAATTATAATCTGGATTATTAGTGATATCCTCACATGACTGGTATTCAGAAGAAAAGCTGAGAAATTCTGCTTTAAATGATGGACATGATGATATCAGACTGGCTTTGGTACTATGTACCAAAAGTTGCTCTAAGGCATGTAGATCAAGGCTAGTACATTTGGAGAGCATTGAATTGGTGATAATACACATTTACACATCAGGCTTTCATGTCTGTGTGTGTGTGTGTGTGTGTGTGTGTGTGTGTGTGTGTGAGACCCATGAGTACCAGAACTGTATCAGTGATTGTCAATAAAACTGTTTTACCCCTCAGGGAAAATCTGGCCATGCCTAATCACATTTTTGTCATAATGAGGGTTTGTAGCTGCTACTGGCATCTAATGGATGGATATCAGAGATGTTGCTAAATATCGTACAATGTACAGAACAGCCTCCTTGTCAGATGAATCCAGGTGCAAACATCAAAAAGGCCAGAGTTGAAAAAGTCTGGACAAGGTAAATTTGATGAAAATAACATTCCAAAAGTTAAACTTACAGCCTATTCAGTGGCCATTTCCGGAATGCCTAGTTAGATCTGTAGAAGCTTAATCTACAGGCCAGATATTAGCTCTTATTTATTTATAATTTGTACCACAAATAATTCCAAACATTAGTTTGGCATAGTTTCAAATGTCTAGTGTTCTTTCTGCTCTACTACCTACGAATTTAATCTCTGTAGATGTTTTATATCAACACCAATATGTTTAAATAAGAAAAGCCAGAGAAAGTAAACAAATAAGCTGAGCTTAATGAAATAATGCGCCCACCCAATCTGATTGAGTTTTTGTTCCAGTTGTGACATCGTGAGATTAGGTGTGAGGCAGACTATATACTGGCATTTGAATTTAAAGTGAATTTTTTTCTCCTATAAATGGTTCAAAGTCTTTTTTAAATTATTGCATAAAGAGATGGGGAGGGCAGTGGGAGATGGGGGTGAATTGGAACAAAGTATAAGGACAAACATGTATGAAAATGCCATAATGTAACCCATAAATTAGTATGCTGACTTTCAAAATTAATAAAATATAATTACATAAAATATAAACTGACTCTACTTCTGCTTTTCAAGTAAGAATTTCATTAAAAAGGGAATAACAAATATTATATCCTAGTAGTATGCTAACTTGCTAATCCATTTCTAGGGTTAGAATTTTTTCATTTTTAAATATATTTTATTTTTACCTTTATGTGTATAAGTGTATTGTCTGCATGTGTATAAGGGCACCCTTGTCACTCAGTGCCCACAGTGGTCAGAAGGTGTCAGATCCCCTGGAACTGGAGTTACATATGGTTGTTAACCACCACGTGGATACTGAGAATCAAACCCAAATCTTCTACAAGAGCAGTCATTCATCTTAACCACTGAGCCATCTCTCCAGCCCCCATGACTGGAAATTTTTGTAAAATGATTACACTTCCTCCAACAGGAGTCCAATGGTACTAAGAGGCGATCTCAGGGGTGGATTGCTTAACAAAACACATCGATGCATCTGAACATGTGAATGTAGGCCATGTAAGTAATTAAAATGCCAGTAAGTAAGGTGAGAATAGAAAGCTAGTTGCTGTACATTTTTAAGAGGAGAGCGTTCTATGTTTCTAGGGTAAATTCTACCGCAAAGGGGTTCCAAGAAAAAAGGATGGTGAGAAACTAAGAAGGTCTCAAAGGAGAGAAGGACTTAGCAATGTTGCAGCCAGAGCTTGTAGGTAGGGTAGCTGGATGATACACCACACTATATGGTTTTAGAATACTTATGAGGCCAAAACGGTACCACACCCACTGCTATTGCACACATTGCTCATGTGAGCCTGTATCTTGATTGATATAGACCGTAAAAATCAAAACTGCCCTGGGAAAAGATCAATGGTCACGTCAGCAACAGTAACAGGAGTGGATCCCTCTGGGCATCTAGTAAACTATTTGTTACTTAAATCATTTTCAGCCTACAGATGTCTCTCGTAGCCCTAATATATACACTCTGAATCATAGGATTTTTTTTCTAAATCAGATTTTTCTGTTCACAGTGTTTTAAGAGTTTTAAATTGCATTGAAATTTTATGATTAGTATACATATACATATTTATATAGCAGATATGTACACGTCCCATACAGATATCTTAGAGATGGGTGATGGGGTACTTCACAGGTTGTGCATTGTGGGATAAGGAGTGAGGCTGGCAGTATTTCTGAGCTACACAACACCAATCATCAGATTGGAAGGAACTCATCTTGGAGTACCTTCCAGGGAAGTCTGTAGACTCAAAGAATAATGAAATTATTAAAATAATGCCCTTCTTAGTCCTATTGCCTTTAAGATTGGTAAAAACTATTACTCTAGGGCACATGTTTTAGCCTACACACTCAAATAAACAAGAAATGGGGGCAAGGAGGAAGGCTGATGGTGACCTGGCAACTTCAGGCATCCAGCCTCTCTTTCCTGTTGATTTCCTCAATAGCATAACCACAGCCTCAGAACTATTTGAAAATAGTATTCTAACTAGACAACAGATTTTTTCAGATCATCTGGGCATTCTAATGCACTTTCTCTTCCTTCCTGTTTTCTATTTTAGTAAATCATCCCTTTCCTGCTACACAGTAGGTTGGAACTCAAATGAGAAAAAATACAGTATCCACCAACCACTTTGTAGCTCTTTGATATGGCTGATAAAGAAAGCAAGCAGTCTGACATGGAATCCATTAAGTAATGCATCTGAATGATCATCTCTGTGTGATGTTTAGCTGTAGTGCCTTCTAGTTACATAATCAAGATTGACCCTCTTCTTAAAATCTGCTTAACAAAATTTTTATTTCAAAAGTGTCAATTTGGTAAAGCACTAAGCCACTATTTCTCACAAGGGGGTCCCCTGGGAACTTGCTAGCAATACAAGATCTTGAGGCCCACCCTAGATCTACTAAATCCAAAACCATGGGGCAAAAAGCAAAGTTATAGGTGTTTCAACAACCCCTGCAGAGGAGTATAATGCAGGCTAAAATTTGAAAACTACTGCACAATTCATTTACACAACTTATTTGTTATTAGCCTACAGAGGTCTACAGTACGCCCAACAAATACACTATGAATAATAAGACTTTTTTCTAAATCAGATATTTCTGTTCATGTCTGAAGAGTTTAAAACTACATCAGGTTTTATGATTATGATATATGTATATATCAGATCTATACACATATGTATCTATCTCTATTTACCATTTATGTATCATCTTAATATCTATCTAGTATCCAAAGAAAGAAATTTAACAAACTCTGCAACAAGTTATATTTTTATTTCTCAATGTACATGTGGTGTGTGTATGTGTGTTTTTATGTGTTTGGGTACACATGTGTGTGCAGGTACACGTGCATGTGTGTGCATGTGTGTGTGGAGGCCCAAGGTTGCCATCAGGAGTCTTCCATAATCATTCCCCACTTCATACATAGAAATTTATTCATAGAAGTTGGGTCTCTCGATTGAACTCAGAGCTTGCCTGTAAGGTTAGTGTAGATAGTCAGCTTGCACCAGGGTTCTGTCTCTGACTTCCAAGATTGAAACTGTAGACAGGCCACCCAAGCCATTGTTCCAATCTCTTGCCACAAGTTTTACTTTTCTAAGTCATTGATGAAAGGGTACGTACAACTAATTCTAAATGAGTAACTTGAAGTATGTTCATGATAAATTTTTAGAATCTTCTACCTTGAATTTTGCAGTCTTCACGATATTAATATCTTAAAATATAATCTTAAAGGTTATGATTACACCCTGGAAATAGGAAAAGTGCTTCAATAAAATTTGTAATCATTTCTATCGCCAAGACATAGGTTACACATGCAACGTGTGAGCTACTGAGTAGCAAATACTGAACAAAAATCTGGGACCGGCCTCAATTGTTACAGTCTGGGGCAGTACTAAATAGAAATAGAGCAGAATAAAAAGTAAAACAAAGCCTCAGAATTTTCTCATCGTCAACCATATATTCCTTGTGCTCTGAGTTTTTCACATTGATGGGCGTAGGTCAGACTCCTTTTGGTTGGGCAGAAATATAAATCCAACATAGAAAAAATGAATAGGCCAATGGGATTTGGAAAATAGGGAGATAAGAGAAAGAACCAACTGTGTCAATCTAGAAAAATATTTTTAAGGATATGTTTCTATGATGTAACTGTCAAGGAATCATTTTTATGTGTTTGAATGTTTTGCCTAAATGTGTGTGTGTGTGTGTGTGTGTGTGTGTGTGTGTGTGCGCATGCACATTACCATATGTGTACCTGGTGCCTGAAGAGGCCAGGAGAGGGAGTCAGATATCTTGGAACTGAAGTTACAGAGAATTGTGAGGTGCCCTGGGGGTTCTGGAAATCAAACCCAGGTTCCTTGCAACTAGCAGCAAATGAAATGCTCTTAACCACTGAACTATCTCTTCAGTTCCCTCTCATGGAATTTCTGTGAACCACTTTGAACATCTCTGACTGGGTTCATCAAATACCATTTCATTGTCTTCCTAGGAATACCAGAAGACTGCATTCCCAAGCTTCCAATGAAGTTCAATTGCAATCACACGATTAGTTCTGGTCAATGGATTGGAGGATGTAAGCAAGTATAGAAGTGTGGGTGTATACCATAATTTTGGTGTTAAATGTCCTCCAAAGCCCCATTCATTAGAGGTTTAATTCTAAGTGATACTAGTGAGGGGGTGGACCCTTTGAGAAGAGAGACCTAGCTTGAAGTTCTTAGGTCACTGGG